CCGCCCCCGGCCCCGCCCCCGGCCCCGGCCCCGCCGCTCCCCACCTGGCTCCTCCTCCCCCGGAGCGAACTCGGGCAGTTTGCGGATCAGCCGCGACGGCTCCTGGTAGTCCGGGCGCAGCGGGAAGATGCGGTCGTAGGTGGAGTTGGACTCCTGCTCGCTGGGCGAGGAGGAGCGGTTGTTGTTGAACATGCTGGACTCGCTGGGCAGCGACAGGCTGACCGTCATTTCGTCGTCCAGCATCCTCCGGGAGGCCTGCAAGGAGGCACAGGGACAAGCGCCGCTGGCACCCGACGTCCGGCTCCCGGGAGCTGCAGGCGCCCCGCCGCGGGGACGCGGTCCATAAGCCTGGAAGAGCCCCCCGCTTCTCGGAGGCGGCACCTGACCTAGTTTCTGGGCCGCCGGCGTTCTCTGAAGCACTTACAGCATCATTTGTTTACCTGATGCTGAGCAGGTGGCCCGTGGAAGATGGTGCCAGTCTCGCGAGTTCAGTGTCCTGGCAAACGCTGGACGTCGCTACTCACCCTGCCACGGATTCCATGTGTGTAAGCGTCAGTGTAAACGCTCAGTGACTCAACAAACGTGCTAGAACACGATGACTCGGGAGTCCGCCTGGCCTCCCTGGCCCTGTAGGTTAGGGTAACACCCCTGGGTCCCACATTTCTACTCATCAAAAATAGAACGGCTACAAAATGGAAAAGGAAAGTGCTGGGTGTCTGGGGATACCTGGGTGAATTACACCTGATACAGGAAGAAAACAACTAATTCTTTGGTCATCCCATCGAATGTGACCTGCCTACTCCAGAACTATGCCGGAATCTGAATATATGTGACAACTTGATGAGTCACTCTGCTCCAACAAATGCTCTGTGGGTGCCCAGCGGAGAAACTCAGATGCCTGCTTCATCCCCTAGACTCGAAGCACATAGTAGGTTCTCAATAAATATGGCTGAATCTCTCAAAGAACGCTGAGGGCACCATCAAACAATGCCACAGTCTACAGCTTACTGAATAATGTTTCTTGGAACATGGGTTATGCTGAAATGTTTTCACAAAGAGTTCTGTCCCCAGGAAGAAACCCTGTGTCACTCCAGAGCCTCTTGAGTTTTCTTACTCAGGATGTACAGGGCAGAAAGAATTTTTTGAGGAACCAAGTTGAATATTCAAGGGCAGAAGTTTTGCTCTCCCTTTACCTGGAGTGTCTCCAACAGTCCTCTCCCAGCCCGTGAATATATTCCACCGGGTTTCAGAAGAAAGCCCCAGAGAAGTGGGGTAAATTCTGGCTCAAATCAAGAGAGAAATAGCTCGAGGAGTACAGAACACAGGCCCTTCCCCTCAGCTAAGATGCGGTCAGGACAGACTGCTGGGTAAGGACACACCGCAGCGTCAGTCCGCAGCACCTGTGCTCCCCTCACCTGGAAGCCAGGTGCCCAGTGCTCCAGCACTAAGAGATGACGGCTCTGCTATTGCCCCACCGTGCTGGTGGGCGAGCTCTCTGGATGCTTCTTTTCAGTCTCCAGTCACTGTTTATGGATTGAAAGCTTTCATTTAGGTAGTGTTTACAGGTCCTTAAGGGAAGCAAGGAGACTGCCTCTTCTGTGACACATCGCTGCCTAAAATCCTTAAAGTGGACCTCACTCATCTCAGAACTGAATGTGGAACAGACCAGAAGGAATCGCCTGGGTCCTTCTCCCGACTGCTCTCATGTGAGCCCTTCCCTCATGTCCTACACCCAGACCACGTGGATTCCTCTCCCCTCACAGTGGCCTCTCCCCTCTGCTGGTCCCTACTCCACCTGGGCACTGGCCCCTCCGAGGGCCCATCCCCAGCACGGACATCAGTCAGGCCGTTCCCGCATGGCTGTTCCTGCCCTCACAGTCCACATCCACACCAGCTCACGGACCGGGAAAGACGTCCACGGCCAAAGGTAGAAACACTTAATCATCAGAAGACCCCAAGAACTCACTTAGCAGCAGTGTCCAGAAAGTTGTTATCTGGCCTAAGAAACCAAGAGTCATAGATATTCCATCTTTGGTGCAATATATGTTTTGGAAGAAAAGAAGTCAACGTATGTCAAGACTGACAACTGGAAAGAGCATAGAAGGCAGGATATTCGTTGTCTGCCATTGAGCACATCATGTTTCCTCATTAGAAAGACAGTTAAATGTAAGTACTATGCCCAACTCACCATAACTCAGTGAGGTTCAAGTAAAATAATATACGTGAAAGTCTTTGTGGATGGAAAATGGAAGACAAATGTAATAGAAACATTTAGATGCCTGAGGGACTCAGAGAGACAGGGAGTCATGACCTTCAAGACACAAAGCAGCAGGACTAGAGCTGTTATGAACTTGGCTGGACGTCAGTGAGGCGGGATGTTTTCACACACACACACACACACACACACACACCAAACAAGCAAACAGTAAAAGAAGAGAAGGAACGCTGTTGTCAGAGATTTTAGGGAGGTATCGCTCAGGGATCAGAATCACTTGCTAATTTTTTAAGAAACACAGATGCCTGCCCCCCTCCCCCCACACCCACCCAGTGAGTCAGAATTTCAAGGGCGACCTGCACTGAGACGCCATGTGTCAGGAGGAGTTTTCTGGGGAGGCTCCAAGGTCTCTGTCCTAAAGTGAACGCATGGGCTTGGCTTGTCCCGTCCGCACCCTGGACTCCTCAGGGCCCTGGTGGGCTCACCGCTCACACATTCACGCTTGCATAATTTGCCTTCGACCCCTGGCTCCTAGCAGCATGGGGAAGGGCGGCTCACCTTCTCCAGCATCTTCTGCCAGAACTGCCGCCAGAGGATGATGACGATGATGGCTAGCAGGATGAAGATAATGGCCACCAAGCAGCCAATCAGGATCCTGGTGTTGCTGTCGTCAACTTTCAGCATTGGATCTGCAGCCAGGAAGAGAAAGGCCACAGGTCATCACCTCAGGGGCTGGACCAGGGACAGGCAGGCAGAGGCTGTCCCTCCAGGACAGTCCCACCAGGTGCTACCTTAACACTTCTGCCCCTTCCTGGTCATGCTGCGCTGCTCCCGTATCCCACACGTCTCCTCAGGGAGCATGGTGGGTGGATGAGAGGTCGTCCATCTTCCCCAAGTTTGTTCCTTTATTAACACGGCCTGGTCTACCGGCCAGCCCTCGTCACACCTCATGAGACATCAGTGGACAACGTCCCACTCTGTATTCTTGGGACGAGCAAGGGAGCTGAAGGCCTCTTTAGAGACACTCGGCCCCACACTGGCTGGCTCAGGTGGCCAGTGGGTGTCTGAAGCAACCTGTCATATTTACCTCCAAGTAGAGACACTGGCATTTTGTTTCACAGACTCCCACCCCCACTCTGAGACCCCCACTGTGGGTCCCACCTAGAAACGTCCCCTTCTAGCTTCACAAACTCTCATGGAGCGATTGGGACTCAGACTCCGCTTCAGCAGGGGATCATGTGGCCCCACAGTGGATGGGGCAGTCCAGGCCTCGGCTTTGGAGGTGCATGGTCTGTGTTCATCCATAGCTGTCTGGTGTGGAGCCCCCCACACAGACCAGCCGGGCCTTTGCAAGTCCCCGCCCTCATCCCCAGCAGGCATTCCCTCCCACGGAACCCACACGTACCGTAGGTGGTGGGTGCCACAGGCGGCGGGGGCAGGGCTCCGGAGTTGTTGTACATGGCCGCGTCTGTCAGAAAACAAAGGGTCAGAGAAGGCCACCAGGTAGCAGGTTTCAGAAGGTGGCTGTGGCCCAGCACACTGTGACATCAACTTCCTGGGTTGCCACCAGCCCTTCTGAACATGAAATCACATAATATATTAAATAGAAAATATCCCCCTTCATCTATTTAGTAAGGACAACTCTTCTTTTGTAAAAGTTTTGTTTAAATGATGGCATGCTAGCGGCTGCGGTACAAAGAAGTTTAGGAAGCAGTGATGTGGAGCGGGGGGCTGTGGCACAGGAGTCGCAGGGCGGCACGGGACGTGAGACCCAGACTCAGACAAATGTAGCGGATTCAGTGGGTGAGGGGCACGCGGCAGATGGCTGCCCAAGCTCCTTCGGTCCAGGAAACGAAAGTATTTCATAACTGTGCCACCACCCTCGCCCCCTCCTTTGTCAGTCAGCCTTTGTCCCTACAGATGGCTAATCGATATTAGGGTGTCCTTCCTGCGATGTCACAGCTTCTAAGGCCAGACCCCAAAGGGTACCTTCCAGGCTGATGTTGGCAACTCATGTTCTCCTCTGAGCTGTCTGACCAAGGAGGTCAAGAGTTAGAACACACTGGGCCGGCCGAGTGGCGCGATGGTTAAGAACTGGCTTGGGACGCCAGAGGGCCCCGGTTCGGATCCCACATATGAGGGCCAGTGACACTGCCCTCCACAGCTAAGATGCTGAACAACAGCTCAACCTGGAGCTGGGCTGCCGTGAGTCGCCGGCGACAGCGTAGGCTGCACCCCCTGCTGCAGTGGGTTGCCATGAGCTACTGTGTGTAGCCAGCAGCCAGCGTGACCGGCCAGCAGCCACAGTGAGCAGCCGTCCAGAAGCCGGCGACTGATCTGCCTCGCCCGGGAAGAGCGCAATGATGGTGCCAACTTGGGCCAGTGAAGCAACGTCCTCCACAACTAGACTGAAGAACAAAACGACAACAACTTGTCTGTTCCCCTTCCCCCAATTCCCCAGCACTGTTCCCATCCCCCCAATTCCCCAATAAAAAAATCTTTAAAAAAAAAAAAGAGTTAGAACACGCATTTCCTTCTAGGAGACGCTTCCTTCCAAAACCCTAATTTTCCTTCTTCACATTATTATATAAATAGGGGGGTGTCTGGCATCTATTGGGTTGTCAGAAAAGTCATGACATATTTTGTCTATGTTTTTCAAAGGTCATTTATTTATATAAAGAACAAAGATCAATCAATGATATATTGTCCGTTCTGTTCGATAACCTTTTGCCAATTCCTCGTTCATAGAAGGACCTGTCTTTATTTGCGAAAAACTGAACAAGGTGCTGATTTACAGCCTCATCTGAATTGATGGTTATACCACACAAGGAGTTTTGAAGAGAGCAAAACAAGTGGAAGTCTAACGGTGCAAGGTCAGGAGAGTATGGTGGGTGTGGCAACACATCCCATCCAAGCTCCAATAATTTTTGACGGGTGATCAAACTTGTGTGTGGTCTCGCGTTGTCGCGATGGAACACAACTCCTTTACAATTAACAAGCTCTGGACGTTTCTGGATGCTGGATTCATTCAAACTGTCCAACTGCTGACAGTACACATTCGAATTGATTGTTTGGTTTCTTGGTAGGAGCTCGAAAAACACGACACCTTTAAAATCCCACCACACTGAGAGCATGACCTTCCTCTGATGAATGTCTGCTTTCAATGTCATTTGAAGCGAATCATCACATTGGGACCAAGACCATTTGCACACCACTTTGTTGTAAACAATCCACTTCTCATCACCAGTTATCAGTCGCTTCAAAGAAGGATCGTTATTCTCATGTTTAATGAGAATATTGCAAATGTTTATATGCGCCGTCAAATGAACTTCTTTGAGTTCATGCGGAACCCAAATATCAAGCTTGCTTACGTATCCCAGTTTATTCAGGTGGTCATGAATGCTTGAATGATGGATGTTGAATGTTTCTGCAATCTCTCGTGTCATATAACGTAGGTTTGACTCGATCAATGCCTTTATTTGTCATCATCAACCTCGGTGGGCCTCCCTGACTGAGGAGCGTTGTTAAGATAAAAACCACCAGCACGGAATTTCATGAACCATCGTTCTTGTCACGTTCTTGTAGAGCATTGTCACTGTAAACTTTATGCAACTTTTCACAAGCTTGACGTGCGTTCTTCCCTTTATGGAAGTAAAACAGTAAAATATGGCAAAAATGCACAGTTTGGTCTTCCATCTTCAACTTGTAAAATCTCCAAAACTCAACCAAATGGCTCAGTTATATTTTATAATGAAGCTAGAACTGTCAGCTGTCAAATGACATAGCAATAACATAGATGCGAATGACTCTAGTACTTCCAAAAATGAACTAGTGCCATCTGTCGCAAACATGCGTCATGACTTTTCCAAAAACCCAATACATTATGTCTGAATTGGGTCCTCAGGCTCCAGTGAAAACTAATATTATCACGAAACTGGATTTAAAGCTAAGAGACCCCAGGTATCCAAAGCAGTCCAATGCTGGAATAGCTGGACTATGATAAGGTACCAATTACTCTGCAGACACAACCCCTGGGCATGGATGGCAGTCTGTTGTCCCCCAGGTAACACAATGTAAGTGCCACTGCTTTTGAACATCTAAATTCCTGCTCTTCATAAACACTTCACACAAAATATTCAGTCCATTTACTCTTAGATTAAATCTGTGACAGAAGGCATGAGGAACCAGACCTGCTGCCCCAAACAGCTCCCTCTCCATGTCAGAACATCCTAAGCAACAAGCCAGCTTAAAATTCTCTCCTTTTAAAAATCAAATAAGAAAGGGTCTCCTGGCTTCTCTTTGAATTAGTCTCTCCTGCTGTCAGGTAACTTCTCTCCCAGACTTCCCTCCCAGGCCCCATGCGGCCCTCCCCGCTCCGACACTGTCCATTCCAACGCTGCTCTCTACTCTCCTCTGACCGCGTATCGTTGGCACCACTTGGGCACCTTTTGAGAATCACTGTACAGGTTTTGTGCCCCATCTGAATTGTGACGGAGCAATGTCCCAAGTGCCTTTGAATTTTCCCAGACCTGGCACGGTGCCTGCTGCCCAGTCTGTGGTCTCCAAACACCACCCCCCACAGAAGGAACCACGATTGCTTGAGGAAACGGTTGGTTCCAGCTCTGGGGCAGTAAATGTTCGAAATGAGCTTGGAGCATCTTGTTCCTTCTAAAATCGGTTCTCAAAGGTATAGCGTCTGATCCAAAGAACACAGACCAGCTAACGGTGCGGCTCTGGTCAAACGTAGGACAGTGTGAGCATCAATGAGAACAGTCACTGTAACTGAGCTCATAAGAGGCGATGCGTGTGTAATGACACTACGACAAACTCATTGCCGTCGCTGATGGTTGTGAGGGCACCAGCTCCTCACTGTGAACATTGGTGAAGAGGAAAAGGGACCCTGCGTGTCCCCTCTGATATGAACTGGGCAGGGGGGCAGATCTTCCAGCTGGAAGGAAGGCAGCAGATAACAAATGCGGAGGGAGAAAAGGATTAGAAAACCACCACTGAGCAACCCCTAGAGAGACACACGATTTGAACAGGGGTCACCCACGGAGAGCAAAGCGAGGGTGAACGTCTGTGGGGCCACCTCAGCCCAGAAGTCACTCTTAGTGTCACCAACAGTGAGGAAATCGAACATCGCAGCCCCACGATGAGGCTGGACGTGAAGCACATGGCACAGGGCATGAAAACCCATGATAAAAGTGGGTCCTGAACCAGACTCAAGCCGGCCTCCGGCCACTGCCCCATGTGCAGGAACGGCCGGATTAGAAGCGCTAGCAAAGAGATCAGCTGAAGCAGAAGGGAGTTTAGAAACGGGACTGTGTGAGATTAAAAGAGACACTTAGGGACAAGGGACACCCCGAGAGGGCCTCACTGGGGTCCTAACGTGACCCAGCCCATGGCAGGCAGCAACACCAGACAATCGGGCCCAAAGTGGACAGGCTATTATATCAGGTGATATGAAGGAATTACTGTAGTTATGAGGAAATGTCAGATGTCACAATGGCATTATGCTTAGAAAGGATGTTAATGTATCTAAAATTGTTAGCAATGAAATCAAATAATGTGTCAGATTTGCTTTAAACTATGATAGCAAAGAGAGAGAGAGAGACGCAGCACACATGACACAGTTCTGAAGGTCAAGAAGGCCGAGTGACAGTGGGGCTCGCTGTTCTCCATAATTTTGTGTATTTCAGAAATTTTCACTTAAATACCTTAATAGTGCCAGGTGTGCTTCCACTTAACTGGCTTCAGGCACATCACGTTTGAACATGTGGCACTGTCATTTTAACCCTCTGTGTTACTTGTCCTTACATAGTATGTGGAGCGAGGCAACACTGTCCACCCATGCCACCCCTGTCCTCCCACAGGCAACACTGTCCCCGGTGCCACCCTGCCCTCCCACAGGCGACACTGTCCCGGCATGCCACCCTGCCCTCCCACAGGCGACACTGTCCCCGGTGCCACCCTGCCCTCCCACAGGCGACACTGTCCCCGGTGCCACCCTGCCCTCCCACAGGCGACACTGTCCCCGGTGCCACCCTGCCCTCCCACAGGTGACACTGTCCCCGGTGCCACCCTGCCCTCCCACAGGCGACACTGTCCCCGGTGCCACCCTGCCCTCCCACAGCACAGCAGGCCTATGTCCACACTGAAAAGAGAAGCCGCCCATAACCCGCCCTCCACACTCCTGCCACTCCCAGGGCCCCGGGCTCCCGACCTGATTGGAAGGTGATCTCACTAAACATCATCCAGGTGTCAGCGAAGTGGTACTGGCACTTGATGGCGCTGGCCATGCGGTGGTGGAGGGGCACGGTGACGAAGCGGGCGCTGGGGTTGACATCATCCAGGACCAGCGGGAAGGACACAGCGTTAGGCTCCCACTCGTTGGCCTCAGAGCGGAAGTAGCACTGCACCCCCTTAAAAATCTTCACCCCTTTGGCGAACATGTTGTTGCAGTGAACCTGGGCGGGGGGAGGGAGTGATGGCCGGTGTTCAGCAGCTGGTACGCAGCCGCATGCAAGCACACGACAGAAGAATCTACATCTGTGGCCTGTGGCACACGGGTGACACCTCCCCGGCCCCGCCGCCAGCCGGGCTCTCAGCCTTCCGGTGACCGACCCGGTGACTGGCGGGGACCCCACAGCAAAGGGCGGAGGCCCGGCCGGAGGCCTGGAGTCCTGGGGCTGGCCCGGCTCTGCTTCAAGCTCTGTATACAGTTAGAACACGTCTTGCCAGGGTTCTGCTCCACCATCCTCGTAGCCAAGGTGGCAGAGACGGTTATGACCATCAGTGGTGAGAGTGGGCAGGGGGCACTCCGTAACCCCGTTCCCAGTCACGGAGCCCGCACGCATTCCATGCCAGGTCAGAGGTCAGTCACTGCCGTGGAGGAACTCGCGGTCTAGTGAGACACAGGCAGATAGATGACAACAGGCGAGCTGTCATGCCAATAAGGGCTCTGGGGACAGAAGGGTATGGAAGCTTCTGCCACGATCTCTCAGTGCTGCGGGGTGGGACATGGCTCAGGACACACAGCCCCTCCCCTCCACTGAGAGTCAGACTTGCACTGAGCCTCCCTCGGGGGCGGGCAGGGCCATAAATGGCTCCCATGGGCCTCCGCACTGCTGCCTCCATGGCCCCTCCCTCCATAAAAGTACATTAAAATTATATTTTACGATTGTGTCATTAAAAAGTTGAGAATGACCTTTAACCCTAAAGTTAATTTTTTTCTTCTGACAGTTAAAGAAGGCAAAACATTTCCATGGGTCCTAGAGGCTGCCCACTGGGCCGAACGGATGTGTCGGATGTGTCGGCAAAAAACACGCAGGGCCAGCGGCCGCGCCCAGCCGCCTCCTTTACTGGAGAAGCGAGCCCAGGGCGATGGAGCGACTGGAAGTGTCTGCAGGCGAGTGAGGAGCAGGGTGTGCATCTCACCCAGGCCTGACAGCCCCATCCCCAGCTCTTTCCTGAACCTTCTCTCTACACCATGATCTTGGCTCCTGGAGACGATCCACCACCCCAAGCCTTCATGACTTTCACTGACCTTCATGGTGGTGAAATTCCTGACGCGGTCGAACTCAAACAGAATCTCGATGTAACCGTTGGTGGTGCTTTCGTTCCTCCAGCCCACGTAGTCGTAGCCGGGCCACACGTGGTATTCGTGGGTCTGGGTGAAGTCGTCCAGGCCGGACACCCCGTCTGTCAACTGGCCCAGCCCTTCGGTCATGCTGCTTGGGTGGAAACAGCAGAGGAAAGAGAGAGAGGGGCCTGCGGTTAATGACACATCCGTGGAGGGCTCTCAGCCGACGCTTCTCCCGGGCTGCGTGAAAGCTGTTTATCTTGGAGGCTGAAGGATTATGAAAAACCCGATATACTTTACGGTGGTGACTCCTTTGTCCTGCACCAACGAAGCAAGCATCTCATAGAGATGAATTTTACGAAGTATTTGATGCTGACCCCTTTACCAGCAAAGCTTGTAAACATGTCATCATTTTCTATGCAAAGGAGTCTGTCGTACATTGTACCCATACTGTTCTTACATACTGACACGCGCCTTTTTTTTTTTTAACTGAGCCGTCCTGCCACCTGTTCGTTTTTAAAGTGACTCAACATCACCCAACGCATTTGGGTAAGGCGGCCACGCACACGCGCATGCGCGAACGCCCCGCCCGCGGGCGTGGTCCCCGAGCTGCCTGCAGAACGCGGGGACTCTGAGCGCCTGTTGTCGTCCGTCCTTCAGTGAGCGGCCGGCGGCCTGCGTCCGCTGCCCCACGTCTCCAACTGCCAGCCCCATTTGATATAAAACTGAAGGGTAAGAGAGCGCACCCCTGCCAAGTTTATACCGATTTCCATGGAACTTCGGTCAAATGTGTGGACTGCTGACTCGCAGAGCGAGGCTTTGGCTGTTTCCTGGCCCAGCACGTCCCCCTTCGGCGCGGGAGGCTGCCGGGAGCGACTGCTGGGCGGATGTGTGTGCATCTGTGTGAAGGCGACCATCTGAGGAACCTGAGGCCACCTTCCTTCTTTCTAGGAAGGGCCGAGCGAAAACCGTCAGGTGCCACTTCTCTGTCCTCCATCTCCGCGCCTCGACCCCATATGATCGGTCAGGAGTTTCCCAAACGAAAACGATGGCGTGTCCACTCTCCAGCTGTACCGCCTGAGTGTGTGACCCCTGAGGTTATGGCCCCACCAACAGCACATGAAACTTGTGAATTACAGAGATGGTTAAGTGTGACTCTGCCAGCCTTAAAGGGACATTTGTTAATATATCTGTTCATTGATTAATGTTTGACAAATTATAAAATTTGACTGGCCTTTTCCACAGTGGCCTGAGCCTGGGTCCCTCTGCCAGGTTTTGCCATCTGTTTCTTCTCTCTATAGATCAGAAGGCTAGGAGAACACACGTTTACTGCAAAAAATGTATTTCCCATGGTCCCCATAAAGGAAAGTCTTATGAAAGCAACACAAATGAAAAGGAATAGCTAGTCACTTTCTCCTTAATCAACGTGAGATCACCTGGAGCGGATAAAGGAAGAAGCGTTCCCTGCTTACTTTGTTTCCTTCAGAATGCTGAGAATTTTTACAACAACCATATTTTACTTCTGGAAAATGTTTAATTAAAAAAAGGAATGTCTGCTAGTCTGACTGTTTTCCGAGGCTCTGAATTGGTAGCTTGTCTCCTATCACTCAGCCACACCCCGGCGAGACATCTCATTATTAAGTAGACACTGATTGTGTCTAGAGCTCTGGAGCCGAGAGCCACCTCGTCGCTCCACCGGAATGTCCTGTCGGTCCCTGAAACTCATCCCAAGCTAAACCCATCCCCGTTGCTTCCTCACCTCACTCTCGCACCTGGCTGCCCTCCTGTCAACGCCACCACGCTACCACCGTCCCCGAGAGCACCTGGGGCACAGTAAACATTAAATATATGTCTGCTGAGGGAATAAATGACATCCCCATGTCTCAGCCACCTAGACTGTCACATTTCATCAGATGACAGATGTCACCTGATGCATGTCCCTCTGCATACCCATCCCATGGTCCCCATTAGGGTGCGGTCCTTAACCCTCCTCCTGGCCGGACGTTCAAGTTTCTCCAAAACACGACCCAGCTGCCTGGCGCTTCTCACTGCGGCTGTGCCTCGGAAACACGCCTTGCTGAGCTGAACTGCTGGCCTTTCCCCGAGCCCCCGGCCGTGGTGTGTTGACCTCGTGCTCTTCCCGCAGCCTAAGGTGCCCTGTGAGGGTTCTGTGCCCGTGAGGCCTCTGCCCATCCTTCGGGGACCCCTCTGATGCCCTCCATTGGATCACGTCTGTACTGGTCCTCCAGTCAGGGAATAACGCACATGGCCGCAGCCCATCACAGCTGCTTTTCTTACCCATTTCCATCATGTGCGCCTCACAGCTAACACAGGCCACCTGACGTGTCTTCACTCCCAGCGCCTTGCCCGCCCCATCGCTTTCTCCATCTGAACCCAGAGCACAACCCACTGGACTCACATCCCAGTTGAGCCCATTCCTAACAGTGAGCTTCTTAAACGGGGGGCCAGTCTCCAACCTGCCTGGCCACGTCCCTTGCACATGGTCCAGTTGACTAGCAAAGATTTATTAAACTAAACTGGATTCGACCACTCGCTGATTCCTCTTGGCCTTGAGCATCTGCCAGCTGGGGTGTGGCTGAGTGATGTGATGCCAAGACAGCTGAAGCAAGTGGGGCTGGAGCAGTGACTAAGTAGCAGAAAGGAAGTGATAGGAATAGGTGCCAGGGGACGTAGTGGTGCTCCACACTCCTCGTCCTGAGGCTCACCAATCTCTCTCTCTCTCTCTC